CAAATTCTAGTGACCTGGCTTCAGAGGGTTGGCCGTTTGGCAGCAATTTTAAAGGGCCCCAAACAGGACCCGTTGTCTTTGCTTTTGCCGTTTATAGTCTTGTTCCTTTGAAAGTTGAAGCTCTCCCTTCAGTATCCCCCCCCCCCATTAAGGTGCAATATATCAGAGTGGTCTCAGCCTGCTGGCAGGGTGATTTAATGAAAGGAGTTGCATCATGGCTGAGAATTGTATACCTCAGCTTTCCTCGGTCTGTGAAATGGAGATAACCTGCCCCTGAGCCTTATTTTTGTTTTATTCTTCTGTTCATTCAGCAGGTATTTTTTAAGCACCACTGCGTGCTCTGTGTTGTTCTAGGCACTAGAAATGTAATGGTGAATGAGTTGAGCAAAGTTCCTGTTTTTAGTCATTCAGAGTTTGGTCCTTGCTGGAATCCTAAGGATGGGACAAAAATATGGGGGAGATGGGTATTATTGAATGGAAGGAAAGGGAATGGGGGAAAGAAGTTAACCCATGTTCACTGATTCACATTTCTGGGCTCACTCTCTAGCCTTTGGTGTGGGAATCACAAGCTAGACGTTTCTTGCCCTCCAGCTGGTATCCAATTGCTTCAAAGATGCAGTTCCCCCAGCACACTCTCTCCATCCCCCGCCGTCCAGGACACTTGTCCAGAAATCCAGCTTTTTTCAGGTGGGAGGAGGTACAGTTTACTCAGCACTAACATGTCTGAAAGATCAGCTGCCTTTCTGAATCAGAAGATAACTTTGTCATTCTTTTCCAACTGAAAACCATGACTCATCAACTGGTACAGCAGCTGGATGGCTTAAACATCAGGCTGTTTGTTCTGAACAGCCCGGTACAGGATTGGATTCAGGCTGTAGAGAGGAGGCTGTTGGGAAAGGCTGAGCAGTCTCTAAGGAGAGGAGGTTGCTGTTTACCTATGGATGGAGTGTGTCAGAAGCGGGGAAGCCAAGCCATCCATTTCTTCTTTTAATGTATGTCTCATATAAGCCATTTTTTTCTTTCTTCCTTGGTCTCTGGAAGAAGTGAAATTGGATGTTTACAGAAGCCCAGGCAGTATAATAAAGAAAAGCAACCAGAACAATTCCTTCCTGTATGTTGGAACATTTAAGAAAGGACAGCTGTGAAACCTGTGTACCATGGAAGGGACCTGGCCTCAGCTGGTTGGGACTACAGACCTGATGGGTAAGATTGTTTCTTGTTGATTTTAGCCTTATTTGATAAAAATGGAGCTTTCTGAGTACTAAGTTAATTATTACTTAGTCTATAAGTAATCAGTTTGCCTGAAACTCTTGGAACCAGAGACCTGAGACAGTTTGATCTGATGAAGTCTGACACAAGACTTAGAATGAGGAAACCAGACAGTTTTGTCCCTTACCTGGGGCTCTCTTCTACTGAGCCTTAGTCTTCTCCTCTGTAAAACGGGGATAATCATCCTCTCACAGGACTGGTTTTTGTTTTTATTTATTTATTTATTTATTTTTGGCTGCGTTGGGTCTTCATGGCTGTGCGCGGGCTTTCTTTAGTTGCAGAGAGCAGGGGCTACTCTTTGTTGTGGTGCATGGGCTTCTCATTGTGGTGGCTTCTCTTGTTGCAGACCATGGGCTCTAGGCTCATGGGCTTCAGTAGTTGTGGCATGCAGGCTCAGTAGTTGTGGCTCTCGGGCTCTAGAGTGCAGGCTCAGTAGTTGTGGCACACGGGCTTAGCTGCTCTGTGGCATGTGGGATATTCCCAGACCAGGGCTCAAACCCATGTTCCCTGCATTGGCAGGCAGATTCTTAACCACTGCACCACCAGGGAAGTCCCCAGGATTGTTTTAAGAATTAAATGAGATTAGAGAAGCTAGGAGAGCCATGTCAGGATGAATCAATACTTAGGGGGAGAGGTAGACTTCTCGTGGTTAGGAGTTGCCTAAAAGGCAGACAGAAGTCACCTTTCTGCTAAACTCCACCAGTAATGTTTGAAGAGCCCTTTGGTAATGTTGCCCACGTTCTCTCCTTAACTCTTTTTAGCCTAGGTCTCCTTGCAGCCACGCCTCTCTTTGCTTTGGCTTTTGGTGTCAGTGAAGACTGTTCTGGGGACAGGAAGTGAAACTAGTCCCATAGGAAGGTGGACTGGGGGTCTGGAGAATGACGGAGTGCTGACCCAGCAGTCAGGAGACCCAAAGCCCCCTTATGGTTCCGTCAGCAAGTTCTCGTGTCTCCTGCCCCCTGAGGCGTGATGGAGCAGACCCACATAGGTGGGGTGCTTTGGCTTCTTGCAAAGAAAGTTGTGCACTGAATTGTGGCCCGAACCCCAAAGCCTCAGTCCTATTTTGTGAATTGTCAAGTGGCCATTCTCCTTCTGGACTCCTCTGCACCGTCGTCAGTCATTTTGTGGCTTTTCTGACTCTTGGTTTTAGGGGGCGATTATGTGTCTCCCCCTGCTCTGACCTCTCAGCATCAGTTTGCTTTGGGTTTTTAGCAGACCCTTACTGGGCTGGAGGACCCACTTACTAACAGGCCTCCCTTCATCCCATGAATATTATTTTCAGTTAATTAGTTAATGAGGCTTTAATGGATCCAGGCTGTTATTCAGATTGTTGAGGCCTAAGCCCTTCCTGGCCTGGCCTGTGGCTGGCTGAGGGAAGGGCAGTTTTGTAGCTTGAGGCTCTGTCTAGAAGGGCAGGCTGGAGGGGAGGCCTTTGGCTGCTGGAATTGCTGAAGGCGATTGGAACCCAGGGTCTTGGAGCCAGAGAACCTGGATTTGGCCTCCTGGGCTGCACAAGGGTGGCCTGGAAGGAACATTGTCCAGAGGGACTGTCTGCAGCACATGTCCCCTTGTCTGGGGCGCTGGTGGCTGGAGTGTGGAGGAGGGCCCTGAAGAATCCCTGGTAGGTGGGATGAGGATGAGGTGAGGATGAGGTAAGTCAGACAAGGCCTGAGGCCGGGGGCCTGTGTTCTGGGGTCTCTCACACCCTGACCAGAGTTGGCTCTACAGGGGCCGCCCTCCACACACCTCCCTCCCTCTGCATGTCCTTACTTGGAGAGGTTGGCTCTGGGTCCTGTTTACCCACTGCCCACTCCACAGGCCAGGCATTGAATCAGAGCAGCTCCTACCATTTAGGGCCACTCTGCCTCTCTCATCTCCAAGCATCATGCTCATGTCCTCCTGTAAACCTTTCCTGCCAGACTGACCTCAGTGTTCCACTGTGGCCTCTCACCTGGGCCCCCGGCTGAAGAGCCCTCCTCCCAGGCCTCCCCTGCCCCCTTGCCCATCGTCCCCTTAGCCCTAGCCCACACCCGCCTCTTCCAGACGGGAGGTGGTCGCACTCCTTCTGGAGTCTGGGGGTTTCTCTTGAGCTCGGGTTGCTGTTGTCCTGGTGGCGGTTGGTAGAGTTGGCCACTTACCAGCCCTGGGATCTTGGGAATTTCTGTGACCCGGGTCAGCTTCTACTTCTTATCTGTCAGACTGAGATGATAAGACACTCCTAGGATGGTTATCAGGAATGAATGGGGTAACACATGTAAAGGGCACAAAACCCATTTAACAGGTCTTGTTTTTACTAACTTCTTTGGGCCATGGGTTCTTGAGAGCAGAGAAAGCAGTAACCTGATTTTCTCTCTCTTTATTATTTTTTGGTGGTGGTGGTGTCCCCTCATGCTTAGCTGTGTGGCCACTAGAGATTTGTTTAGATGTGAGTGTGCCTGTCCAGTCCTGCCCTGTGTAAGTTCCGGGGTGGGGCAGGCCAGGCAGCAGCCCCTTCATGCTTAGGCCACAGTCCTCAGCCCCACCTCACCCTTAGCCTCAGCCACCCCAGGAGAGAGCCAGCTGCCCAGAGAGATTTCGCTGCGTACTGACTTCAGCTGCTGGCACACGCTTAATTAGGTAGTGGCATTCTTTGCCTGTAGATTTGGGCGGCTGCATCCACTGGGGTTAGAGATACCATTTATCCTCGGTAAATATCAGGCCCTGCGCTCAGCGTTTTCCATACTCATAGTCTCCACTTAAGAGGTCTGATACGTGCCCCAGTGTGCCTAGCTGGTTAGTGGCAAATTGAGATCAGAACCCGTGTTGTTCCCCTTTAGACATGTCCCTGTGCTGCTCAAGCTAGACCTTTGCAGCCCAAAGGAGAAGCAGCTGTGTGGCAAGAGAGCCCTTCCTTTTGAAGGCGTTTCAGTTGTACTTTTCCCTACTGAGCTGGCCGACCCTGGGATGGGACGGGAGTAGGGACAGTTGCAGAGCCCAGGCCCTGAATGTGAATTGTGAGCCCCTGCTTCCCGGCCCCTGTGGGTTCTTGGCACCTTCAGCTGCAGCATCCCCCCTTGCAGCTTCAGATCTGTATCTAAGTTAGCCTTTTTTTAAAAAAAATAAATTTATTTATTTATTTTTGACTGTGTTTGGTCTTCATTGCTGCACACGGGCTTTCTCTATTTGCAGCAGGCAGGGGCTACTGCTCCTTGCAGTGTGCGGGCTTCTCATTGCTGTGGCTTCTCTTGTTGCAGAGCACGGGCTCTAGGCGCGCAGGCTTCAGTAGTTGTGGCTCGCGGGCTCTAGAGCGCAGGCTCAGTAGTTGTGGCGCACGGGCTTAGTTGCTTTGCGGCATGTGGGATCTTCCCAGACCAGGGCTTGAACCCATGTACCCTGCACTGGCAGGCGGATTCTTAACCACTGCGCCACCAGGGAGGTCCCTAAATTAGCCTTTTATTGCCTGCTTTTTTGTGCCAGCATTTGGAGTGGCGTCAAGAGCCCTTTCTACCCACCCTTTGGGATAGACCCGCCCATGGCACATCCCACGAAATCTTTTTTCCTTCCTTGTTTCCACCCTTAAAATCCACTCTCAGTTTTTACTTTTGTATTGAAAGTCCTTGCAGTTGCAGGTTGAGTAAGATGGGGGTGGGGCGTGGGGAGGAGATCGTTTGGGCGCAGTGATTGTTCATCCGGCCGTGTCTGTCCCTGCAGGTGTCATGTGATTCTTCTGGGGAGCTGCTGCTTGAGTGGAAATGCTCTCAGCGGTGGAGAATGGACTGGACCCCCGGGCTGCCATCCCGGTAGGCAACAAGGGAGAATCAAGGGTGGGGGAAGGGGTGCCTGGGACAGCCATTTCATTGTTTTTTCTCACTTTGAAATGCATTTGCACTGTTCAGAAAGAGAGGCCTGGAGTTGAGAAAAAGTTATAGCAGAAGCAGGCTCTGAGGAGATCCTGCCCTTTCTAGATCATCTTATTGGTGATAAAATGGAGATTTACAAAAAACAATGGAGATTGCATGTAGGTTACCTGAGGACCAAGGATTTCTCCAAAGAAGATATACAAATGACCGATAAGTACATAAAAAGACGCTCAACATCATTAGACATTAGACAACGGCAAATCAAAACCATAATGAGGAAAACAGAAGTAGAGTCAACACGGACGTAGAAAACAAACTCATGGTTACCGGGGACAAGGTGTGGGAGGGATAAATTGGGAGATTGGGACTGACGTATACACACTACTATATATAAAATAGATAACCAATAAGAACCTGCTGTATAGCACAGGGACTCTACTCAGTACTCTGTAATGGCCTGTATAGGAAAAGAATCTAAAAAAAAAAAAAGGTGGATATATGTCTACATATAACTGATTCACTTTGCTGTACACCTGAAACTAACACAACATTGTACGTCAACTATACTCCAATACAAATTTTTTTTAAAAAAGTAAAATAAAATAGTAAGAAAAAAAAATCATAATGAGGGACTTACCCAGTGGTCCAGTGGTTAAGACTCCATGCTTCCACTGCGGGGAGGTATGGGTTCAGTCCCTGGTTGGGGAGCTAAGATCCCACATGCCGTGCGGCACAGCCAGAAAAAAAAACATAACGAGATACTTCTTCATATCCACTAGGATGACTGTAATCGAAATGGCAGAGACAGTGATAAGTATTGGTGGGGTTGTGGAGAAGTCGGAACTCTCATACCTTCCTGGTGGGAGTGTAAAATGGTACAGCCATTGTGGAAAGCAGTTTGATAGTTCCTCAAAAAGTGAAACATAGAGTTGCATGTGACTCAGCAATTCCACTCCTGGGTATACACCCAAGAGAATTGAAAACATATATTTACACAAAAAAACTATGAACATGAATGTTCATAGCAGTGTTGTAGCCAAAAAGTGGAAACAACCCAAATATCTATTAATCGATGAATGGATAAATATAATGTTATATATCCATGCACTGGAATATTATTTGGCAATAAAAAGGAATGAAGGACTGATATATGCTACAACACAGACAAACTTGAAAACGCGCTAAGTGAAGTCAGACACAAAAGGCTGCATATCATATGATTCCATTTATAAGAAATGTCCAGCATAGGCAAATCCATAGAGACAGAAAGTAGATCAGTGGTTGCCAAGGGTTGGGGGAGAGGGGAATAGTGAGTGACTGCTAATAGGTACAGGGTTTCTTTTGGGGGTCATAAAAATGTTCTAAAATTAGATAGCGGAAGGTAGATAGCCAGTGGGAAGCAGCCGCATGGCACAGGGAAACCGGCTCGGTTTTTTGTGGCTGTCTGGAGGGGTGGGATAGGGAGGGTGGGAGGGAGGGAGACAAAGAGGGAAGAGATATGGGAACATATATATATGTATAACTGACTCACTCTGTTATAAAGCAGAAACTAACACACCATTGTAAAGCAATTATACCCCAATAAAGATGTTAAAAAAATAAAATAAAATAAAAAATAAAATAAAATAAAATTAGCGGAAATGGTTGCACAATTCTGTGAATGTACTAAAAACCACTGAGCTGTGTATTTTAATGAGTGAATTTTATGATATGTAAATTATGTCTCATTAAAGCTGTTCTAAAAAAGGAACATTTAACTTTTCAAAGAACATTAACATTAATTGTGTTGACTAAAATAAAAGTGAAACAGTGAAATATTTGTCCATAATCCTATCACCTAATAATTCAAACCAGTTTTTCTGCAATCCCTTCCAGTCCTTTTCCAAACCCTTAGGTAATTTTGACATATGTACTTATATTATGATAGAACGATCTTAACTCTGTATTTTCAAAGGACTTTATGTATATTTTATAATTTATTCATTTAGCAAACATTTACTGAGTACATGTGCCAAGAAGCAGGCCCATTGTTGAGGGCACAAGGGTGAATAAAAAACTAGTCCTGGGCTTCCCTGGTGGCGCAGTGGTTGAGAGTCCACCTGCCGATGCAGGGGACATGGGTTCGTGCCCCGGTCCGGGAGGATCCCGCATGCCGCGGAGCGGCTGCCCCCGTGAGCCATGGCTGCTGAGCCTGCGCATCCGGAGCCTGTGCTCCGCAACAGGAGAGGCCACAACAGTGAGAGGCCCACGTACCGCAA